TGCAGACGTGGGATCGGCAGTGAACGTGGTCGCCTGAAAATAAACATGAAATTTAGTATAGCCACCGTTTATGCACAATGCTTTATTTGGAATCAAATAATCAATTGAATTTTACGCTGAACGACATCCATTCACATGTACATTCGTTGCTTTGATCTCTTTTCAAAGATTCAGCAAATTATCTATAGACCGTACTTTAATTCAGAATCAGTCACCACATACCCTTGAGACGGATAGTTCAATCAGCTGCTTCTGAGATCTTTGAGTTTTCTGCTGAAGGTTCATCTCTTGGATTGCGACCTTCAACCCCTGGAGACGTAAGACTTCTGTCTTCAGCCGCTGTAAAGCGCTGGATTCAAAGAAAGTCCCGTCCCAAACATAGGCACTGGAAATATAAAATCTCTTTAGTTACGTATATTCTCATAAAAATGATAATGAATTAGATGTCCTAAATTTTCCAAGTAGTTTCTGAACAATATAGATTTCTTCGTGTCACACAGTTAAAGAGGTGAAACCATTTTCCATTGCTAATGCCTTCATTTTAGGAAAACTGAAATAGGTAATTAAAATAAACCAAATGCATTTTTAGCAAGAAAATTAAAATGAGAAACCACGGACAAATTACGGAACAAGCCTCAGATAACGCTAATAACATCTGTGTGGTTTACCTGTATGCAGTGGTTTCTTTCATTTCCTCCTCAACAAGATACCAGCAGTGAGTCTGCAACATTCTCTCCACGGTCTTTTCTCTAAGGAGCACCTGAGGGTCTTTATAACACCACAGCTTTTCGAAGTAATCCTCGGCTTTGACCTTGGCGACTTCGAGGCTCCAGAATCCGCTTGAAGCAGTAATTGAGGCATCATAATGCAGTTCCCATAGGAGGGATGTGAATATTGCCTGGACCTCGTGGGACCGAGTTCCTTTGGCTTGGTGAGAGTACACGGAGGCAGGGTTGCGTCCGCTTGTCAAGTACCAATTTCCATAGGCCTCGTCAAACAGACAGTAGAGGTCAGCACAGTTGCTGCCATATTGGACGATAAGATCAAGATCTGGAAATTAAAGAAAGAACAAAAATAGTTAACATTTTTCTTTATCCAAACTTTGAAATTCTGCAATATTTCATTCCTATCCTAGAGATTATGGTGAAATCGCTTGTAAGGCATGAACTATATTAGTTTTATTTCAGATACAGAAAAAAACACTATTCTTTATCCCTTTAATAAGAAAGCAGACACTTTATTTTAAGGTATAACATGTCTATCTGGAAAATGATTCCATTCCATTTAACAAAAAAAAAAAAAAAAAAAAAATACAGAGCGCGACCCACTTACCAAAATCGCCCGCACAAATTGCGTCCCTGTTAGCCATAAAGAAAGGGTGCGTATTAAATATGTGGTCCAGGACGACCTCTATTGTAGGTTTATGACGCAATGATACAGAGAAACTATGGTCCGCTCGGAGTTCATCTCCGGCTGAAAGAAAGGGGGATAACAAGAGTTGTTTACATCACCTTTTATCTCCATTAACTTCTTTGATCTAGTCTTGGTGGCTTAAATTTATAGGAACATTTTCAAAATGTTACACATGAAATAAAATCTAGCTATCGAAGTACAGGGTTGTAACCAGTTTTTAGAAACATAGTAACAGTGTAAGAATACATGTTGTCATACATGTATGTATTGTGTTCTAATTTTCTATTTTCACTCTTTTCTTTGTATAATTCCAACCTGTTGCGCGCTACTTTCATTAACTTATTATCATTACTGAAAGCCTCACAGAAACAGACACCTTAAGAACACAATGTATAATGTTGGAATGCATTCCCATCCATCCATTCATTCATCGCAAACACGTTGTTAACAATAACACAACATTTAAAAACAAATGAGATCGTTGGCCAAAAATATATGATTTATTATGATTATTATTATTACCTTAAGAAATGGAATAGGGGGTTGTGGCTTTATTTCTACATTTATCACCACTTACATCTCATCAGAGCGTCCCTAAGAGCACGGTAGACGGGAGAACTTGTGGCTCTGTGACATTCAATAAGCCTGGCCATCTTCCTCAGCACCTTTTCTTTGTTACAGGCGTTGTACAGGTCCTCTATGTCTTCGCCATCTGCAGGGAAAAAAATAGAAATTAAATAAACGATATGATAAAAGACGATTTTTTTTTTTTTTTTTTTTTTTTTGTAGATTGATGTATATTTTAAGCTAGCCTCAAGGGTCGTTTCAAAAAGACTTGTCAAAAATACATTCTCCATTGTAATGTTGGCCTACTTTTCGTGCAGATAGACGAGGCAGATGCGCTATCAAAAAAGTACACATGTATCAAGGGACAATGCGCGAAGAAATCCGTTGACAATACAGGATTTTTAACATGAAGGATTTTCAACGTGAATGGTCAAATAACTGGAGATTCACAGTGTTAAAAAATGCAAAGATTATTTAAAATATCAGAAATTCACACATCTATGACTACGTACTTTCTATGAGACACTGGACATAGTAAGCAAAGAAATCATGAGCTACTACAGGGTCTTGGAACCGCTTTGTCCTCATGTCCACTATGGCGGACCACCTCATTGTCTTATCTTTCAGCTGAGAAAAGTAATCTGAAAACATCCAATCAAAAACAATCATATTTCATGAAAATCCATGTTTTGTAAACAATTTTATTATCTTTGCTCAATATACTTTAAAATCCATGCATTGCAATAGGCAGTTTATCATTTGCGGATTAGCATGTGTGCTCTGTTTCACAAATGAACAGTAGGGTGATGCAAATGAACATAACTGGGCGAGCTGATGCCTTTTTTGTCAGGGTACTTGCACATGTGAATAAATGAATTACTCTAGACTCAAATTCGCTATTTATTTCAGCCACATGGGCGGGAAGAAGTGTTAGTGTGTGTGAGCGTGCGTGCGGGGTGGGGTCGGTATGCGACTTTAAAAAAAGTTGACCATTATACAGTAAATGCCTTTGGCCTGCGTCAGAGAGAGAGAGAGAGAGAGAGAGAGAGAGAGATGGAGAGAGCGAGAAAATTAAACTCACCACTGAGCTCCCGAGCAGTCATGGCAAACACATTCGTCACTTCATCGGTCAAGAGAGGGCGCTGTCTCTGCCAGAATGGAGACATCTTTTCGAATGCATACAGGCAGGTAATCATGTCCCTACCATCCTTCAGGAAGTTCTGATACTCTCCGTCCATTATGAGCTCTCTTATACAGCTCACTTTGTGGAGGAGGACGCACATCTCCTTGGGAGTGATGGGAATCCAAGGCGCACTGGTTATGTATTTGCAAAATGCAACACCATGCGTGCGCTGAATTAAAAAAAGAACATCGTTTTAAATATTAGACATAATTTTCTTAAACTGAATTATTTCATTCTACGATACAAGTTTGTAATTTTATGCGTGCTTTCTCGACAACTAATTTTTCAGTTTTTGTTTAATTCATTGGTTTGAAAAATTGTATTTTATACCGAATAAATTTTATCGTTTCAGTTGACACTCTGCAAGGTCTTAAGCTAGATCTACATCTTTAAACTTTATTAAAAAGGTTTTAAAAAGCCAAAATAATATTTACCTGAATAACTTGCTCCCAAATATAAGGATCTCGGCCTAAATCTCGAAAACGCCTGCATGTTGAGGTAAAATTAAGCAGAGAAGGCGCATCCAGATTCCTCGCAATCTTAACTAAAAGTTCGGTTGGGATATCACAGATAATTCCGTCTCCGAAATACGTGTCCTCCTCGGATATGTCCTTTTTCTTGCAAAACTTTAAATCGCACTCAGAAAATCGTCCTCTCTTCTTGCTCGTGCGTTGTTCAAATGAAAGTTCAACGTCACTCATAACGATATGATAAAAAAATACGGGAAATACTTTGAAATAATTGAGAAATGATATCTCGTGACAGCAAACGTAATGGCAGTTACTTACTGTTTGGTTGCTACTCTACGTTTCTGGGTGACGAGTTTTTTGACGTCATAATAATAACGGTAACTCTTTTTTCATTGTGACGAAACATTTTAGCTTTGTTGAACGATACTTTTCACTTGCCTGAATAACAGTTAGCCTACATTTTTCTACTTTATTTTACGCTCAGATTAAAGGGATAACAACTCTTCGTATGAAAGCTATATTTTACAATACACAGAATAACAACTCATAGAAATATAATACATTCTATTTTAACACAAAAACGGCAGTTATAGCAATTATTCTGAAATCCGTGCTTGTCATCGGACCACGTGACCTCCATAGATGACTATACTCTGTAATAATCTCTTAAGGACTAACTTTGATTGTAGACATGGATTCATTAACAATTGGGAAGGATAAGAAAATTGTCGTTTGCCCCAGAAAAATTCATTTTTTGGCCAAAACGAACAGTTGTTATCCTTTTAAGATTTTATGCTTTGTAAAGCTATTATACACAATATTGGTGATTCAATCGATAGCGCTGTGCCCAGTTTATTTCCCAGATATAATGGGCGTCATCATGCCACGTCTTTTTTCCCAGATTTTTATAGTCGCTTTAGGCACGGACTTGTTTTTTAAGAAAAACATCTACTGGGTTTACTTACAAAAAGAGGCAATGTTTTACTTCTAACACAAGCCGATCAAATATCTTAATGTATTTCATTTTGGAAGGGGCCCAACGAAAAGTATAATATTCAAATGCTATGTAACATAGCAAGAATAAAAATAGTGAGATTTCAGCTACACGGAATAGGCCTATCTGTTTTCTCACATTGTCATTTGATTTCATGGAATTTATCTCACAAATTATTTTGTCTTTGATCTTTAGCAGAAGGCGGTTGGGTGGTGACAGTAGAGTGGTGCACAGCTAGTGAATATCTAGAGAAATACCAGTGAATATCCGCTGAAAACAATACTCTGTGCAGTCTTGATAGAGGTTGAATTCCATCCTCTTGCTTTGTAAAAAACTCGATTTTTTAAACTGAATAACAGAATACTCTGAAGACTTGAGAGGAGAATGATTTTATTGTTGGCTTAAATATTATCTTCACAGTTGGATTTCCTTTAAAATTAAAGGTAAAGAAGAGCCACTGATATCAGTCTTAGATGACGACATTATGACACCAGTTGGCTGAAAATTCAAAGGAAATAAAATTGGACATTTTGGTTGCATTTATAACACACCTATTCAAGTAGATTCTGTAATATCTTAACATAGTCATTTATCATGGCTTAGTGAAGGTCATCAAAGTCTGAATGGAATAAAATGTCAATTCAATTAAATTCAGTACATCTCTCAACATAGTCACTTATCATGACTTAGTGTAGGTCATCAAAGTCTGAATGGAATAAAATGTCAATTGAACTCAGTTTAAAAATAAACTGAAGCCTAGGGGTAGCTTAATGACAGTAAGAACTAAGAAAATCACTAAGAATACATTTTAGGACATTATGACATAGGTCACAATGATAATTAGAATAGCCTAAATCCTGCTGGGTATTTTATAAGTAGCAGATTTTCATACTGCTTCACTGCATGATCCCAGCCTAGGGTGCGATATATCTGAAAAAAAAAATTGAAAAAAATTTTAAAAAATAAAGACAAAAACCACAACGAAAAGTACAGATCAGAAACAGAGGTTGTAAATAAACAACTTCTGCAAATTCAATTTTCAATTTAAACTGAATCACTTTCATTAAAAATCATAACAATTTATTTTATCATTTTACATCTAACATGCAACATTCAGACTAGGTAAAAAGGTGCTTTTCTTCTTTTAACCTTTTTGTGAATGTAATTAAACTGACATGATTTAGGAAAATTTTAAAAAAGGATCACCTCATACCCCCTCTATATGTACATGCAATGGTTTGAGTTTGTTATTTCAAGACCCTTTCCTTAAGGACAAGTCAGTCACAGAAAAAGTTAGTACCTCAATGATCTTCAAATCATTTTCTTTGGTGTTCTTCTCGTCATTCTGTTTCTGCAACACTTTCAGTGCACGGCCATAATGTTTGTGCGCAAGGGCATGGCGGACAACGAACTGTGACACCTGAAAACATGAGAAAATATGCAATTTTAAAAATAAAGAGCAATGATCAAACAAATGCTATCGGGTAAAACTGCATGCTCTTCAAGCAAACTAAAAGCCTAGTCAGATCATTTTCATTAAAAATATGAAATTTAAAAAAAAAGAAAGAAAAAAATGTGTATACTTTAGGGCATTTAGATACCTTAAAGTTTACGACTTTAAAAAAGAATCTGATTAATTCTCATCCCATATTAATTCCCTACTCTAAAGGTTCTTAGGATAAATCCACCATTTTGTTGCAGGAAGAAAAGAAAAGGGTTTCATTTCCCTCGTAACTACTTACATATATCTTTACCCTCACCTTGAGATCATTGATATCGATAAACTTTTGCAGCTCATAAAACGTAGCCGTCAGATCGTCCAGGGTAACCTCAGGCAGGTCCTCAGTGTCTCCCTCTGGTGGTTGTTCTGCTTTTCCCATGACAATGTCTGCCTGAGCACAGCCTAGCCGCCCCAGTGCGTCCACCAGCATGCCCTTCTGTTTGTCCATCTCACTAAGGATAAAATTATTATCATTAGGGTAAACGGCTCTTGTATAATACATTCAAGTATGAAGCTATCGTTTACTGCAAAAGTTGGAAAGTATGGCATGGAATCAAGGAGGACACCTACAGCAATGAAAAGATATCTTTGGCTCCCAAAAACTCAGAAAACTGCTGTTAGTTGGGGAAAATCTCATCCCTAATAACAGGACAAATGGTCCTTGACTTTGATATAGGGGGTGGCACACTGTGGACTGTTAGGCCCTTTGAAACACTGACTTTTTTTCTGCTATGACGAAGACTGACAAGTCAGTCAAAAATTCAACACAACAAAGAAAATGGAAGCAAATGTCTGAGACATGATGAAATAACAAAATACAACACCTTTTGATTGTCGCAGCTTCCGGTCTGGCATCAGTCTTCATCCCATAGTATGCCAGCAGTGCATTCTGGTCTATGCGTGATGTCACTTCCTGTGCTGCAGCAAGGATAGATGGGAGTCTTTTAAGACGTTCTTGTTCATTGTCCAGGGACTGCAAGCGTGCCATGTAGAGGGGGAGATGATCAGGAAAGTCTTGAAGTAAATCCTCAAATATGGTCTGGCTGTTGTCTAGCCTGGAAATGTAAAGAAAAAGAACAAGTTTTCAGAATTATTTCAATGTATTCAAAACTGATGCTCACAACTAAAATTGTGAAACATTTTACTGAGAGCTTTCAACTATAGCCATCACAAAACTATGACCAATTAACCTTATTATAGATTTTCTTGTTCTAGATTTCTAATCCTACCGTCATGAGCAAGCACTGCCAAATTCAATCACCATTATGATTACAAAAACTCCTTAACAGTGATCCATTTTGGATGGGGTAAACTTTGGCGATTAAGGTAAAATATGCTGAAATTTTTTATTTATTTGTTTGTTTGTTTGTTCGTTTGTTTGTCTGTTTGTTTGTTTACATGAATGAGACCAGTCCTCACTGAAAAAGTAGGAAAATTGGCCATGATACTCGATTCACAAGAATGACCTAAATGACCCTGACAAAGTCTGAATTCCGACAAAAGTCAGAAAAGTCTCATTAGCGTATTTATTAATTTTTGCTATAAAGATCTAATGCATATTGTGGGACTTCAAAGCCACTCACTTAGGCATCCAAGAAAGTTTTAGATCCCTGAGGGCTTCAGCATACTCCTGTTCTTTGGTCTTCTCCTTCTTGTCTTTGCCATTGTTCTTATTATTATTGTTCTTCTTCGCTACTTCTGTTACTGTATACTTGAATGGGTAAACGTCCTGGAAATATTGACATCTTTTAAGCAATGTAAAATACCCAATTAGACATGTTGCTTTTGTTCTTAGTTGCCTTTTTCATCTGTTTTTTTTTTCTTTTTAATTTTTTTAAAATTAGTTTCTGACTCAAAGGTGAGTAAAAACCTTAGACAAAGTAAGACAAATTAATAATAAAGCGAATACTATAAGACGTTTGAAAAAATATTGATTAATATATTTTTTAATAAAGACATTTTAAATGAAAATGGCAAAACTGAGGGAAACTTATCAGAAAACATAGGATTCCTTTTAAGCCTCTTGCTGTTGAAAAGAAGGAATCATATGACATATGTTATTTCCACAATGACCTTAGATTGATAAAATAAAATACAATAAAAAATAATTTTAACATACTGCTTTCTTTCCCAACTCGTCCTTTGCAAGAGAAATGGTGCCTGACAGGAAGTGCCCAGCAGCGACACCTTTTGGCAATCTGAAAAAACAACAGCAGTGTTTAAAGCCTACATTTCCACAGCATTTTAAAATATCTCTAAATGCTTTGGTCACATTTTTAAGCCAAATTAGAAAATCAAGAAAGATATCCAAATCCACCTATAATGTACATGTAAAGCAATAGACAAATAATCTGATATTATAGCAAATGGAGTTGGGGGAAGGGGTTCCTTGTAGATAACATCCTTGATATGCACACATCCTTGATATGCAGTAAATTTTAGTATTTTATAATTTACAATGTTTAGTATATACCCCAAACTTAATAACCATTTCATCTCTTAATCACAACTTGTACATTTTCATTTTCATTTCCTTTTAATTGTTAAAGCATATAAATATTTCCAAAGAGAAGTTGTACTATGTACATTATAAAACTCGTTTCATTTCTATATACTTACTTATCATCTGGTATTGGGGCAATAAAAACTGGGTACTTGTATCCTTTCTTCAATAAAAAGCACTGGAACTTCTTTCCACCTTGAAAAAAAACAAGGCAGCAAAGCTGTCAAATGTACAGACAAAAGCCAGAAAATAAAAATGCAGGAAATAGGATACTGTCAATTCTGATGCACTAATGTATTATGCTTACTGTAACTGCATAGCCAACTTAAAATATAATTCTGCATATCAGTGGATTAGGATGAAAGTAAAATGTGTAACAAGAGTTCCCATACCTAATTCAATCTAACAGGATCAATCCAACTCCAAGGGGTTTCTCACTAATTTGCTTTCAGCTTAAGTGGCTTAGGACTCTGGCATGCCAGTTTCAGTAGGCATGACAGACAGCTAAGCCACTTACATTGATTGCAATTTAGCGAAAATTCCCTTGGAGATAGATCGATCCACAGTTAGCGTGATAGGGTCTGGAAATAGTCCCTAAGGCTTCAGGCTGATAAGAGTTAAACTTTGGAAATGCCAGAATGAGATAAAGTGAAAAGTGAAAATTTCACAAACATAAAAAATTGCTTAAACTCAATAATATATATATATATATATATATAATTTAATAGAGCTGTTTTTCTAATTTGGCTGTATGTCAATCCTAAGAATCATTCTTGTATAGAAAATGTTACAAACATTACAGTACAGGGCTCCTGGTGGATGGGAGTGATAAGTCACATATTGAAAATGCCAGTTTGAAAAATGAAAAATTAAAAAAGAAAAAATTACAAAAATATTCCACTAAAGCTGCCATTCAGTCTAGCTGCATTACCTTGATATGAATCATCCACCTTGAGTTTAAACAGTGTAAACAACTCACAGAAATATAATATATTTTGTTTTACCACAAAAAGGGCAGTCATAGCTATTATTCTGATATCTGAACTTGTCATCAGACCATGTGACCTCTATAGATGGCTATACTTTGTAATAATTTCTTAAGAGATTATAACAAAAAAAAAAAAACACTTTTAAGAAAAAAAATTAATTATTTGCCAAAAA